TACCTACGGCAATGAGAGGTCCCCACGAATTCAAGTAAAACAAGCAAGCCTTAATGGGTGAATTATTTTCCTTCTTTGGATTCAATTCCTGACCAATTTTCTTCCACATCACACCAAAACAACAACACCCCAACTTCAGTACCTACCACTCAAGTCATACCTCCAGTGACCCCCATGAATACACCAAATCTCCTTATCCACACTCCCTATGTACCACAGTACGTTCAAACAACACATAACTCGCCTATCACTACCAATCCAACTCACACCCCCTCCTCGTGATGGAGTAACTTTCACCACTCACCACAACCAGCACATACCTGTGGCACATACCGCCGCCCATGAGCGATATGTTCCCCCTGTATATCCATTTCTGAACCTACCTTTACAATGCCTATCACAGTCAGGGTGCCTTATGAGATTGGCCAATATGCTGAGATAGAAAGGGAAGGTAGGCGTAAGGAAGAGGAGTCAGTATTTGAGCAGCTGCAAATCTTGAGAAAGCAAATGAAGAACCTCCAAGTTGTCCGAGGAAGTGAAAGTTTGGACTACGAGGATCTGTGTATTCATCCGGATGTGGATACGCCAGCAGGGTATAAGCCTCCAAAGTTGAATATCTTCGATGGGACCAGTGATCCCCACGCGCATTTAAGGGCATATTGTGACAAGTTACTCGGAGTCGGGAGGAATGAGAAGCTAAGAATGAAGTTATTTATAAGGAGCCTAGCGGGAGAAGCCCTCACCTGGTATACTCGACATGATCCACAAAATTGGAGAACTTGGCAAGATATGGCAAATGACTTCATGAATCGTCTTCTATTAAATAGAGAGATCACTCCCGATAGGTTCGCACTGGTGAACTTGCAGAAAAAACCATCCGAGTCATTCCAAGAATACGCACGTCAGTGGAGGTCAGAGGCCGCCAGGGCGCAACCTCCGCTGGACGACAGTGAATTAACCAAGTATTTTATCAGAGCCCAGGAAGGGATATACTTTGAAAAGATGATGGGATAGAAATTCCCCGAGATGGTCAAGATGGGAGTTTTCTTAGAAGAGGGCATAAAATCCGGTAAAGTACAATCCATGGAAGCACTGCAAGCAGTCAGCAAGGCTATTCAATAAGGGACAATCGGTAGCGGAAAGAAGAAGAAAGAGGAAATCTCAACAGTCAACCCTTACTTTTAACCCAACCCACATCATAGAAACATTTCCTATTTCCCAAACAATCATTCACCACCACCCACTTATGCTCCAGTCTATAATACCCAACAATATTATCATTCTCAACCACAATACAACCCTTCTCAAGTTAACAACAACCCGAACCCATAACGAACATATGCTCATGTCCAAACCACTACTCACCAAAACCGACCCGCTTATGCACCATGCCCTCGTCCCAATTTTGAATAAAGGAGTCCTAGAAATTATACCCCGATTAATGACCCTCTGGACCAATTGTTTGATATATTGAGAAGTGTATGATTGATACATCCATTTGAAGGAAGGGTTCCAGAATGTCCCTCCAAGTATTTTGATGCATTTAAAAGGTGTGTACCATTCCAATGTACCTGGGCACGATACTGAAGATTGTTTTAAGCTGAAAATGAGATTGAAACACTATTCAAGAGCGGAGCCATTCGGTGCACTCCGACGCCGCCCAATATGAATCGCAATCCACTGCCAAATCTCTGAAACCAGAGAGTTAATATGATCATATTGGAAAAAGAATATGACCTAAAGGGAACGATTGTCACTATAGGAAATGTAGAAGCCGCCAGGATCCCACCTTAAAGGGCTCCAATGATTACAGTACAAGTGAGGCCTACTGTGACAGTTCAAACTTATCAGTGATAACTTGTCGTCGCTACATGGGACGAAGAGATCCGGGAACACAAAACCATCCCATGGACATATCGACAGAAGGGGAATGCCAAAATGACAGACTCTGTAGCGGCCCATGGTATGACTAGGTCAGGGAGATGCTACACTCCTGAAGATGCCAATCGAGGGAACTTGGAAAGAGAGCAAATTCAAAGAAGGAGCATAACAGACCCAGAAGCCACCAAGTTCTGGAAGAGAATGTCAACCAAAGAGTACTCCGTGAAGGAGCAATTGAAGAAAACTCCAAAACAGATATCAATCATGGACATGTTAATGAGCTCTGAAAGTCATAAAGACGCCGTGTTGAAAGTACTGAGTGGGATAAGTGTACCAACCGACACCACCAGTGATGCGATGGACACGATGATTGGTAAAATGGTCGGAGCAAATATGATCACATTCAAAAGAGATAAACATCCTGTCAAAGATGCAAGTCACAACAAAGCTCTTCATATCATTGTCAAATGTGGGGACAAAGTCGTGTCCCAAGTGCTGGTCGATGGAGGGTTAGGAGTCAACATTTGTCCGCTCTCTACCTTACGGGAGTTAGGAATTCATTTGAGGGAGGTCAAGAAAAGCCAATGAGGGTAAGGGCCTTTGATGGTTCGCAGAAGGATGTCATCGGAGAAATATATTTGGCCTTGCAGATCGGGCCGGTCAAATTTTCCATATTGTTTCAAGTAATGGTTATGTCTTCTTCATATAACTTGCTACTGGAAAGGACCTAGATACACCTGGCAGGGACTATACCATCCACTTTACACCTATGCATGAAATTTGAGTGGGGGTGTCAGGAGATCGTGGTCCACTTATTTGAAGCATGTTGTTCCATTCATTGAAGGGCCAGATAAAGTTGCTTTCCATGCAGACTACCGAAATGGAAGAGACTGAACAAAACTTTTTGAATACAGTCGCCGTATAGATCCAAGATGGCTATTAAGGAGATGATGAAATATGGATACAGGCCAAGAACAGGGCTGGGAGCCATGTCGGATGGGATCATAGAGCCAATTGAACCTAATGAGCATAAAGGAAGGGCCAGCATAGGGTATCACCCTCCAGTGGGGAAAGCTCATACATTTAGCTTCGGGAAAATGGTTTTTGTGCCAGAGCATGTTTCAAGTCTGGGTCAGAGTTCAGTTTCAGAAGAATATATCATCGATGGGATGGGAAAGCTTTCATGAATATAATCGAAGAATGCTATGAAGGGGCTAGCATCAAGATACTGACTATTAGGGATGCCGAACCGGGAGAAGAGCTGCGGAATTAGACTGCCAGTCCATCTTTGGTTCACTGTAAGTCTTGGTAGTATGGGAGTGTAAAAGTTTTCTTTTGAAAAGCGCATGGTCGATTGAGGTCTGCACCGTGTCTGTACCTTTTGTCATTTGCCGCTTTCGAACGCTTAAGACGTTCATCGTTTGATGAAATAAAAAGAATCATTTTCTCAAACTTTACAAATTTATTTGCCGCTTCATTTATACTTAGCTTTTCTTTTTAGTAATCAAAATGCAAAAAACTTGCGTTTCGCGATTGTGACATGTAATGAAACCATCGAGCACAACGACCCAGATTATGAGGAGTATGACAAGAGTATAATGCCAGAAAATCTCCCGCAGGAGATCGAACAGTTGGAGTGTTAGACATAGCCCATCCTCGAAGAAATGGAAGTGGTCAACCTTGGAAGTTAAGAAGACGTGAAAGAAACCAGAATCAACATTCATCTAGAAGCCGAGCAGAAGGAAAAACTAGTTGAGCTCCTCTGAGAGTACATCGATGTGTTCGCATGGTCATATGATGACATGCTTAGATTAAGCACTGACAATGTCTCGCATCGACTGCCCATCGATCCTACCAGACCGCCGATCAAGCATAAACAGAAAGTTCAAACCTGATTTATGTCTGAGGATAAAGGACGAAGTAACTAGGCGGATATAGGTGAATGTGGTAAGGGTCACAAATTATCCCATCTGGTTGGCAATTATCGTCCAGTGCGCAAGAAAGACAGAAAGATTAGAATATGAGCGGATTACCGAGATCTCAACAAAGCTAGTCCACAGTACGATTTCCCTATGCCAAATATCCACATCCTCATGGACAACTGCGCGAAGCATGAACTGTAGTTATTTGTGGAATGTTTCGTTGGGTACCACCAAATCTTGATGCATGAGGAAGATGCAGAAAAGAAAGCCTTCGCCACACCTTGTGGAGTTTACTACTATAGAGTCCAGTCGCTCGGTCTCAAGAACGTCGGCGCCACATACATAAGGGTCATGACAACCCTTTTTCACGACATTATTCATAGGGAGATTGAAGTGTATGTGGATGACGCCATCATAAAGTCTCAAAAGAGTGCAGAGCACTTGGACGATTTGAGGAAATTTTACGAATGCCTGCGAAGATACACTTGGAAGTTGAACCTGGTAAAATGTACATTCGGATTCCATGTTGGAAAACTATTGGGTTTCATTTTAAGAAGGAAGGGAACAAAATCGGACCCATAAAAAATCAAAGCTATTTAGAAATTGCCACCACTAGAGAGCAAGAAAGATGTAATGAGTTTCCTGGGTAGATTAAATTACCTCAGTCGCATCATAGCCCTCCCCGAGTATCTATCAAATGCACTAGTGCTGGTTCCCCCCAAGCACGAGAAGCTATTGTTACTATATTTGTCAATCTTGGATAACGCCTTCGGCTATGTGTTGGGATAGCATGACGACATCGGGGAGAAAGGAGCAGGCCATCTACTACTTAAGAAAGAAGTTCACGCAATGTGAGGCGAAATATACTTTGATAGAATGCACTTGTTGCGATCTAACTTGGATTGCCCAAAAACTAAGGCATTATATGTCAGCATACACTACGCACCTGATATCTCGACTCGACCCACTCAAGTACATCTTCCAGAAGCTGATGCCTACCGGATAGCTAGCTAAATGGCAAATTATCCTCAACAAATTTGACATTGTTTACATAACTTAGAAGGCTATCAAAGGGGAAGCTTTAGCCTACCACCTCACGGAGAATCTGGTGGATGGGGATTACGAGCCACTTAGTACGTATTTTTGTGATGAAGAAGTATTATTTGCTGGAGAAGATTTTGCAGAATCGTACCCTGGATGGAGAATGTTTTCGATAGAGCTGCAAACTTCAAAGAGGTCGGAATTGGGGCAGTTCTGTTTTTGGAATATGGACAGCACTATCCAGCACCAGCAAAGATAAGATTCCCTTGTACCAACAATATGGCTGAATATGAAGCATACATCCTTGAGATCAGAATGGCAGTCGACATGAATGTTAAAGAACTTTTGGTCATAGGAGATTCCGATCTATTGATACACCAAGTCCTCGGGGAATGGTTCACCAAGAATGTCAAGATACTTCCGTACCTACACTGGGTGAAGGAGCTATGCAGTAAGTTTACGAAGATTGAGTTGAAGCACATCCCCAGGATTCAAAACGAGTTCGTTGACACCCCTGCAATTCTATCGTCTATGATTCAGCATCCAGACAAGAACTACATCGAGCCTATTGAGGTAGATATCAGGGATCAACATGCCTATTGCTTCCATGTAGATGAAGAACTAGATGGTAAACCATGGTATCACGACATAAGGAAATTCCTTGCACCCAGAGAATACCTGGAGAATGCTACTAATGGACAAAATATAGCCCTTAGGAGGTTGGCAAACCACATTTTCCTCAACGGGGAAGTCCTGTACAGGAGGACCCCAGATTTAGGATTGTTGATATGTGTAGATGTTGCCAAGGCAACCAGGTTATTGGAAGAAATACATGCAGGGACGTGCGGATACCACATGAATGGATTCACATTACCCAAGAAGATTTTGATAGCTGGATACTTTTGGATGACTATGAGTGACAATATCTACTATGTGCAAAAGTGTCACCAGTGCCAGATTCACGGGAATATCATCTGGGTTGCGCCAAATGAGTTAAACGTAATAGGTTCACCCTGGCCGTTCGCCGCTTGGGGCATGGACGTGATTGGACCTATAAAGCATGCCACATCAAACGGGCATCTCTTCATCCTGGTAGCTATCAACTATTTCACTAAATGGGTCGAAGAATCTACTTACAAGGCCGTCACAAAGAAAGTAGTGACAGATTTTGTCCGGAACAACATCAATTGACAATGCCGCTAACCTCAACAATGAACTCATGAGTGAAATCTGCGAGAAGTTGAGAATCGTCCACCGCAATTCCACAGCTTACATACTACAACTGAATGGGGCAGTCAAGGCAGACAATCACAGGCAATGGCAGGAGAAACTATCTTTCACCTTACTGGGTTATTAGACCACAACAAGAACATCCACTGGGGCAACTCCATACATGTTGGTATACGACACTAAATATGTGATACCCACAGAGGTCGAAATACAATCTTTAATGGTCATTCAAGAGGCAAAATTGGACGACACAGAGTGGATACGGGTCAGACAAGAGCAACTCATGCTAATCGACGAGAAGAGAATGGATGTAGTATGCCATGGTCAGCTATATCAGAACAGGATGGCCAGTGCATTTAACAAGAGAGTAAAGCCTCGCCAGTTCACACAGGGGTAGTTGGTCCTGAATAAAATCTTTCCCCACCAAGAGGAAGCCAAAGGAATGTTCGCACCAAACTGGAAAGGTCCTTGCGTGGTTCACCTAGCACTAACAGGTGGAGCTCTAATCTTGGCAAAAATGGATGGAAGAATCAACACGAAGCCCATCAACTCAGATGTAATCATGAGATACTATGTTTGAATTGAACTATGTCCTGGCTTGATTCCATTTGGATACGTTGGCAATCTGAGTCAAACTCGGCCATTTCATTCTTAATCGCATCATTTTTGCATCTGTTGTAATATAACGATATCTTGACCTAATTCTATTTGGATACTAAAGCTGCCTAAGACAGGCTCGTCCAACTTCATCGTATTTTATCATAATCCACGAAGTACGTTCAGACCTGATTCCATTTTTGATACGTAGGAAACCTGAAAGGGTTTGGTCATAACATTAGAAAAACCTTTGTAATGCATTAGTTTGGATTAGGACGCACGCGCAACGGCTGGTAGCCACGTTGTCAGAAGCATCACGGAAGATCGACATCAACAGGACGAAGTTTGCATGGAGATACACTCGGAAAATATTGTACATAACAAACCGCCTGCTCAAACAATCGGACCACCTTGTACAAAACAGACTGTTGCCTTCATCAATGGAAGCCCTGTTATAGCAAATCACCTGCTCAACTAATCGGAGCACCTTGTACAAACGAGTCGTTGGCTTTACCAATTGAAGTCCTGTATATTGCAAACCGTCAGCTCAATCGATCAGATCGCCCTGTACAAATCAAACGCTGTCTTCGCCATTAAGAGCCTTGTATATATAGCTAAACTGTTCATCTTGCCAATGGAACAATTCGCATCGCCGCTCTGTCGCAACATATGCAAGAATAGACAGTAGCAAACTTCGTCACTGACGTTCTGCCAATAAATGGCCGCAACTTAGCTTGGCAGTCAAGAGTATCTCTTGGGCATGCTTTTCTTTTACTTTGCTATTACTTTGAATACATTGACGTTTTGCTCATGCAGCTTCAGGCATGATCTCAGTTTTAGTCAAATCACTCCCAAGCGAAGATTATTTTACATTTCAGTGAAAAGCTCTCCCAACAAGTGGGGACGCACTCTTCAAATCAAGCTCTCCCAACAAGCGGAGACAATTTTAAAATGCTCTAACTGCTGCGGAACGGTACACGGCCCGACTAATAATCGAGTCAAGATCAAGTATCCCATCATCCAGATCCCAAATAACGGCTCACCGACAGCCAGGTATCATCATTCCTACATCATCTACATCGCATCTTAATATATTATGCATTGCAATATATGGGTATGTGCATATTTCATTTGTTTTGTGGGAAAATACATAGCTGTGTAGAACTCTTTTCTAAGCAGCAGACCAAACTACAACCCTAGGAGGGACATCAAACTCATTAGTGGGTCAAGGATCTAAGTTCAAGCACAAAACAGCCAGTGAAACCCAAAATTTCAAATCCTTCAAATCAAGCCGCAAAATTCAAGCGATCATGAGTGCCCAATCCTCCGTCTCACCGTATCATCATAATACGATACTGGGGCAGTCCTGCGAGTATCTCTTCCTAAAAATATCTTCACTCCAGAACTACATGAGGCCTGATCCTCGTTAAGCCCGAGGTATGTAAGCAATTTAAAGCCAGAATTCGGCCCCAATCTCTCCAAAATTCTTCCCAAAATCCCCCAGAATCTTCCTTAACTCCTAATCCTGTAATTTATTATCTTCATGCCACTCCTGCAATGCATGCCTAAAGTCGGGAAAATATTGGCTTTGGTTCAATTTCTTTGCCCGAAAACTCTTTCATCGTCTCCGGCCAAAGAGGGGCAGTTGTTGACGTCCAGTTTTGACCCTCCCTTTTAACATTAATTTTTATACATAATAATAATAATAATTTTACTACATTTTATAGAAAATTATTAAGCTTATTTAATTTAATTATAAAGGGGGTCAAAAGAGGCTAAAGGCAATAATTGGAATTCTCCATTAAACACATATTGGCCATTCTTTAAATCAAATCCAGCCCAATCCGGAAATACCCAGTCCAAGTCCACCCATCTCTTTCCAATATGGTGATCCATGCCATCACATTTGAACCAATCACAGCGTGCCACATCATCACTCTCAAACACTCACACAAGAAACACACTACATCCGGCCGTTGAATCAAACTAATTTTTCCATCAGTGATTTATCTCAGCCGTTGGATTAAAAGAGATCCAACGGTCGCCCTTTTTCCCCAATAAATCTTTTTATCTCCGAAATATCGGAGTCGTTGATCACAATGATCCAGTGGCTCCCGTTCCATCTCCCGTTATAAACCTGGAGTCAACCCCCAACCCTAATCATTCTCTCCCAAGACCAGTCGCCCCTCTTTCCCAAAACTCTCTCTTTTCTCTCATCCCTTCATCCCCCATCAGTCATGAAACCTTGCACAAATCAGTGGTAGGACACAAAATCCTTTACCAAATCGTCATTCCTCGCTTCTTCATCCGAGAATCCTACTGATCTTTCCCTTTTGCTCTTTAAATCTCAAATACAAACATGGCCAATAAAATCGAAGCACTCACTTCATCTTCATTTTTTCAAATCCATCTTGCAGAATCATCTGCTTTGTCCCTAGGCTCTGAGGCCTGTGATTCACTTTCCGTTTTCATTCATTATATTCAAAACACCTCAAATCTGAAACCCTAGCTTGAAGATGTAACTTAAAAGTCGCTTAAATCCTCTCTCGCTCCGTCAAATCGGAGCATGCATGGAGTTTTTCAAAGGATTCATTATGAGGATTCTTTAACCAGAGGTCAAACGCAGTGACCTCTGGGTTTTAAGTCATGACCGATGGTCTTCTGCCTTCAAAAATAGATCTCTCTATCCTCAGGTAAAAATCCTAGATGTTTTCCTCTCTACTCTTCTCTGATTTCACTAAGCTTGCTCACATCATCAGCTCATCGTCATCTTCCACCATCTAATTTGTCACGACCCAACTGGAGGGTCATGACTAGCACCCGGGCCATATTTGCCGAGTACCAACGTACATTTTATCTAACCTTCCTTATTATCTTTAAGGGCCAACAAGATCAATATAAATAGTAGACATGGATCATGAACATCCAACAATGAAAGATAATGTCATGAACATACATAACATGGGACGACAAGACTGTCAAGAAACTATATATAAGGTACGAGCTACCATGATGCCATGAAAGACTATACAACAAAAATCAGCTGACAAGGCATTTTAAACCATACATAAGTCAACACCTGTCTATGAGCCTCTAAAGAAACATAAGTGCTACAATATTGCCGGAACAGGGCCCCGACATACCCATAATGTCTATAACAAAAATGCATACCAAGACCACGGCAAGTCCGGAGAAGGGATCTCGCCAATAAACGCTGATCCGGATAGCCTACTGTGATGGGGGAGCTACGTCTACCCGTCTATCAGGACCTGCAGCACGACATGCAGCGTCCACAAATAAAAAGGAAGTCAGTACGAATAAAGTACTGAGTATGTAAGGCATGAAAGCATAAGTGAGAACAGTAATGTAAACAGGGATAGAGAATATACAATCTGTGACATCTGG